TTTATAAACTAAAAGAGGAGGCAGTTAGGGTAAGATATAAACAGCTATTGGAGGATAGATGGGTTTAATGAGAGCATAGGCAATGGGGTCGAAGAGGTATGGGGTAGGTTTAAAAATGTAGTGTTAGAGTGTTCAGCAGAAGTTTGTGGTTACAGGAAAGTGGGTGCAGGAGGGAAGAGGAGCGATTGGTGGAATGATGATGTAAAGAGAGTAGTAAGGGAGAAAAAGTTAGCTATGAGAAGTTTTTACAAAGTAGAAGTGATGCAAGGAGGGAAGAGTATATGGAGAAAAAGAGAGAGGTTAAGAGAGTGGTAAAGGGAAATGTAAAAAGAGAGCAAATGAGAGAGTGGGTGAGATGTTATCAACAAATTTTGTTGAAAATAAGAAAAAGTTTTGGAGTGAGTTTAACAAGTTAAGAAAGCCTAGAGAACAAATGGATTTGTCAGTTAAAAATGGGAGAGGAGAGTTTAATAAATGGAGAGTTAGAGGTATTGGGAAGATGGAAGGAATATTTTGGGGAAATTGTTAAATGTTGATGAAGATAGGGAAGCTGTGATTTCGTTTTATAGGGCAAGGAGGGAATAACATCTTGTAGGAGTGAGGAAGAGCCAGTTGTGAGTGTGGGGGAAGTTCGTGAGGCAGTAGGTAAAATGAAAGGGGGTAAGCAGGGCCGGGATTGAGGGATAAAGATAGAAATGTTAAAAGCAGGTGGGGATATAGTTTTGGAGTGGTTGTGGGGCAATTGTTTAATAAATGTATGGAAGAGGGTAAGGTACCTAGGATTGGCAGAGAGAAAGCATAGTTCCTTTGTATAAAGGCAAAGGGGAAAAAAGAAGTGCAAAAATTATAGGGGGATAAGTCTGTTTGAGTGTACCTGGTAAAGTGTTTTTGTAAGTTATAATTGAAAGAATTAAGAGTAAGACGGAGATAATAGAGATGAACAGAGCTTTAGGAAGGTAGGGGTGTGTGGACCAGTGTTTACATTGAAACATATAAGTGAACAGTATTTAGATAAGGCTAAAGAGGTTCCTTTGTGCATTTATGGATTTGGAAAGGCGTATGACAGGGTGGATAGGGGGGCAATGTGGGAGATGTTGCAAGTGTATGGGGTAGGAGGTAGGTTACTGAAAGCAGTGAAGAGTTTTTACGAGGAAAGTGAGGCTCAAGTTAGAGTATGTAGGAAAGAGGGAAATTTTTTCCAGTAAAAGTAGGCCTTAGACAAGGATGTGTGATGTCACCGTGGTTGTTTAATATATTTATAGATGGGGTTGTAAGAGAAGTAAATGCGAGGGTCTTGGCAAGAGGCGTGGAGTTAAAAGATAAAGAATCACACACAAAGTGGGAGTTGTCACAGCTGCTCTTTGCTGATGACACTGTGCTCTTGGGAGATTCTGAAGAGAGTTGCAGAGATTGGTGGATGAATTTGGTAGGGTGTGCAAAAGAAGAAAATTAAAGGTGAATACAGGAAAGAGTAAGGTTATGAGGATAACAAAAAGATTAGGTGATGAAAGATTGAATATCAGATTGGAGGAGAGAGTATGGAGGAGGTGAACGTATTCAGATATTTGGGAGTGGACGTGTCAGCGGATGGGTCTATGAAAGATGAGGTGAATCATAGAATTGATGAGGGAAAAAGAGTGAGTGGTGCACTTAGGAGTCTGTGGAGACAAAGAACTTTGTCCTTGGAGGCAAAGAGGGGAATGTATGAGAGTATAGTTTTACCAACGCTCTTATATGGGTGTGAAGCGTGGGTGATGAATGTTGCAGCGAGGGAAGGCTGGAGGCAGTGGAGATGTCATGTCTGAGGGCAATGTGTGGTGTGAATATAATGCAGAGAATTCGTAGTTTGGAAGTTAGGAGGAGGTGCGGGATTACCAAAACTGTTGTCCAGAGGCTGAGGAAGGGTTGTTGAGGTGGTTCGGACATGTAGAGAGAATGGAGCGAAACAGAATGACTTCAAGAGTGTATCAGTCTGTAGTGGAAGGAAGGCGGGGTAGGGTCGGCCTAGGAAGGGTTGGAGGGAGGGGGTAAAGGAGGTTTTGTGTGCGAGGGGCTTGGACTTCCAGCAGGCATGCGTGAGCGTGTTTGATAGGAGTGAATGGAGACAAATGGTTTTTAATACTTGACGTGCTGTTGGAGTGTGAGCAAAGTAACATTTATGAAGGGATTCAGGGAAACCGGCAGGCCGGACTTGAGTCCTGGAGATGGGAAGTACAGTGCCTGCACTCTGAAGGAGGGGTGTTAATGTTGCAGTTTAAAAACTGTAGTGTAAAGCACCCTTCTGGCAAGACAGTGATGGAGTGAATGATGGTGAAAGTTTTTCTTTTTCGGGCCACCCTGCCTTGGTGGGAATCGGCCGGTGTGATAATAAAAAATAAAAATAAGTGACGATGATGATGGTGATGATAGCCATGCAGTTACTGATGACGGTTAAATGGAGGTGATTATATGGTGTGTAACTGCATGGCATGTTGAATCTAGTGTGTGGATTCTAACTCTTCACTGCCAGCATCGCTGCTGACATTGCTAGAGTCAGAGTTAGCAACAGAGTCAGATTCTGCCATGTATGTAGGTTCAGATGAGGTGGTAGGGGTAGCAGCAGGGGTAGTGGCAGGCTTCCTTGTGAAGAACATTGTGATGGGCAACTGAGACCATTTCCTCTTCATATCTTCAAACAGAGTTTTGTTGGTAATTATGCTCCTATCAGTGTCACTCATCACCTTCAAGGCCCTCAACATCAATTTGTCTGTGTTGTAAAAAAATTGTTTGAGCTGTGCTGTCATCTCATCGCTTGCCCTAGCTTTTCAAGGGTGAGGGCTTGAGGTTGATTGGCCTCAACAACACACTCTTCTTCTTCACTCTCACTCTCTGCCTGCACAATCTCTAACAATTCTTCATCATTTAGGCTCAGTGCATGTTCTTCAACCAGTTCTCTCACCTCACCCTCCTGCATGTCCTCGAACCCTTCACCACCAACTAGCCTTGCTAACTCCACAGTCTTCCTCATGGCTTTGTTAACCTCATCCTGGACCAAATCCAACAGATTCACACACACACACTGGACTGGCAGGCTACTGGTTGAAGGGGTAAGAGGGAGTTTAGTAGGGACACAGCAGGAAGCGTTTTCCCATACTTTTTTTCCCACATTTGTTTGGTAAATATGATTGGGCGGCTGGGCATTCGCGAATGTTCGAAGCTCGTGAAAGTGGAACTCACAAAAGTGGAGGGCTAACTGTATCCTATTTGTAACCTTTTTTGTTTTTAATGAGCTAGATTTTTTGACACACCGGCTGTCTCCCACCAAGGCAGGGTGACTTGAAATAGAAATGTATATAGGAGGAGGGTTACTAGCCCCTTGTTCCTGGCATTTTTAGCCGCTTCTTACGACACACATCGCTTTCGGAAGAAGGATTCCTCTCCGGTTTTCCATGGAGCATATGGTAGATATGAGCATTAAACTAATAGTTTTTCTACACTTAAGAATTATTAATTTTGATGCATAACTGAGGACATAATTTATTCCTGTAAGAATTATTAATTTTGATGCATAACTGAGGACATAATTTATTCCTGAAAGTTAATGTTTTATTGACATTAAGGGTCTGTTATTAGTTATCACCCAGATCTAGACCTTTTACAGTTCATCATTAACTATGGTGTTTAAAGTCAAAGATGGAGTCTGAGCACAGATTGCAGGTTGTGTCAGAAGCCTTGTGATGCTGGGTAGCATTTGGTAAGGAGAAGGAGAAGAGGTTCTATGATGCTACCTTTGGGGACCCCTAATTTAATTGGTCAGGTAATTAGTTCTCCATGGAAAAGTGGAACAGAATTCTTCCTCCGTAAGTCATGCATGTCGTAAGAGGTGACTAAAATGCCGGGAGCAAGGGGCTAGTAACCCCTTCCCATATATATATTACCAAATTTAAAAAAGAGAAACTTTAGTTTTTCTTTTTAGGTCACCCTGCCTTGGTGGGATACTGCCAGTTTATTAAAAAAAAATAGGGAAGTGCCATTTATGACTTGCTGTTGTCTGTTTAAGTAGGATTTGATGTAGCTGTATAGGGGCCTTCTTGGTCTATTTATTTATTTATTTATTTTATGTATTTGCAAACAGTACACTGAGATTTTATATTTACAATAGTGGGTTGCAATGCAAAGAGAACCTCTATTATGCCTAGGCATTATGGGCCAACTTAACATTATTGGCTTACAGTCTACTTAATACTAAGAAGTAGTATATCATAGTTGTACAGTAGGAAAGTAATTATTTCATAGTTGTACAGTAGAATATTAATTATAAATGAATCAAAATTTGTATAATACAAAGATATATTTATATTTGAAAATGTTTTTTGTGAAAACAATGATTCAATTATATTCCTGTCAACAATGGATAAAAGGTTCAATGTGATTGTTTCAGTTATGTGGGAGTACATAGGTGAGTAAGTGTGTACTGAGTATTTAGCATTTAGTCTAGGGTGATTAAGTGGCTTTTGAGAAGAGTCTTAAATTGATTTTCAGATTGAGTTACTTTAATATCTTCTGGTAATGAATTCCATATTTTGGGGCCCTTTATGTGCATCGAGTTTTTACACAGTGTGATATGGACACGAGCTATATCAAAATGAGATCTTTGCAAAAAAAGTGCATTATGGTTAACTGTATAAAAATTCTCATTTAGGTCAAAAAGAATTCCAGTAGGAGACCTCTTTCAAGTGCTGCATAATCTGTGCCAAGCATTTTTATGATTGCATCACTAGTACTTATTTTTTTATCCGAATCCAAATTAGCAAGGAGTAAACACATTGATAACATATGAGTACAGTTGCCTGTGGATCACTTCTTTTAGATTATTATTACAAGCTTGTTTTCCAGTGAATATTTTGGTTGGGAAACGTGCATCTGAATAGAAAGGATTCAGTTCAGTATTACTTCTTTTTGTTAAATGTGTAAATGAGAAATATAAAAATAATGTGTATTATTGTGATTAACATCATCAGGTGGTATAGGATGTGTGAGTGATTCATATGATATCTGGAAATGCTGTGAAAATATTTGGGGAGAGGAACTGAAAGACGTGGTGATCAAGAGAGGCAAGATGGGAGGTTTTGTGGGTATCCGGCCAGACAGCGGAGACCCACCAACTGTGACACTCAAGGTAAACTTTATATTGATGTGCACTACTCTAAACTACCTGGTATATATAGCCTACTTTCTCTTATTATATATAGTGAAAGTTGTTACTCAGATCTTCCAGTAATTCATGTCAGATTTTTTTTTAACAAACCAGCCATATCCCACCGAAGCAGGGTGACCCAAAAAGAAAAACAAAAGCTTTTCTTTTTCTTCTTTCTTTCTTTCTTTCAACAAACCAGCCATATCCCATCGAAGCAGGGTGACCCAAAAAGAAAAACAAAAGCTTTTCTTTTTCTTCTTTCTTTCTTTCTTTCAACAAACCAGCCATATCCCATCGAAGCAGGGTGACCCAAAAAGAAAAACAAAGCTTTTCTTTTTCTTCTTTCTTTCTTTCTTTCAACAAACCAGCCATATCCCATCGAAGCAGGGTGACCCAAAAAGAAAAACAAAAGCTTTTCTTTTTCTTCTTTCTTTCTTTCTTTCAACAAACCAGCCATATCCCATCGAAGCAGGGTGACCCAAAAAGAAAAACAAAAGCTTTTCTTTTTCTTCTTTCTTCTTTCTTTCAACAAACCAGCCATATCCCATCGAAGCAGGGTGACCCAAAAAGAAAAACAAAAGCTTTTCTTTTTCTTCTTTCTTTCTTTCTTTCAACAAACCAGCCATATCCCATCGAAGCAGGGTGGCCTAAAAAGAAAAACAAAAATTTTTCTTTTTAACTTTATTAATGTATACATGAGAAGGGGTTATTAGCCCCTTGCTCCCAGCATGTAAGTCTCCTCTTACGACACGCATGGCTTACTGAGGAAGAATTCTTTTCCACTTCCCCATGGAGTCATGTCAGATTTAACTTTGCAAATGTTAGTTCAATAATATTTTAACCACTAATTTTAATAGTCACTAATTCTCTAAGAAAATTAGAAAATTTCTTACATTTATTTTAAAAATAGAATGTACTGATGTGTAATATGCTGTATGAGACTTAATGTTTAGAAGAACTTAATGATATAAAAACAATAAGAAGTGTTCAGATGAAAAAATGTGAAGCATAGGAGACCACAAGGTGGCATCAGTAATCAGATTTTATACTTTTATACTGCAAACTGCAGTAAATGATCAAACTATGGAGGAATATTTTTTATTTAATACTCTATTCCAGTTTCAAAATTTTCTTCTTTGACTTTTTAGTAACTGAATATAGAAGGGGTTGCTAGCCCCTTGCTCTTGGCATTTTTTAAAAAATTCATATTCAAGTTTATTTCCACATTATACATTGTTTATTATAGGTAGTATGCTGGTAGACAGCAACCACCCAGGGAGGTACTACCGTCCTGCCAAGTGAGTGTAAAACTGAAGCCTGTAATTGTTTTACATGATGGTAGGATTGCTGGTGTCTTTTTTCTGTCTCATAAACATGCAAGATTTCAGGTATGTCTTGCTACTTCTACTTACACTTAGGTCACACTACACATACATGTACAAGCATATATATACACACCCCTCTGGGTTTTCTTCTATTTTCTTTCTAGTTCTTGTTCTTGTTTATTTCCTCTTATCTCCATGGGGAAGTGGAACAGAATTCTTCTTCCATAAGCCATGCGTGTTGTAAGAGGCGACTAAAATGCCGTGAGCAAGGGGCTAGTAACCCCTTCTCCTGTATAAATTACTAAATTTAAAAAGAGAAACTTTTGTTTTTCTTTTTGGGCCACCCTGCCTTGGTGGGATATGGCCGGTTTGTTGAAAAAAAAAAACATTGTTTATACAGAAATGGGAACAATTCAATACAAGCGGAAAGCCCATGGTTATGCAGAGCATTTGGGCAAGCCTAAGCCTAACTTAAGACCACAAGGGCAGTAAACATTACATGTATGTATTTAAGGACCTTAAATGTAGAAAGGAAGAAAGGTTTATGAAGGACGAGGTTAACCATAGAATTGATGAAGGAAAAAATGATGGGTGGTGCATTGAGGTATCTGTGGAGACAAAGTACATTATCCATGGAGGTAAAGAAGGGAATGTATGAGAATATAGTGGTGCAGCATGTATGTATGAGAATATAGTGGTGCAGCATTCACAACCCATGATTAACAGCATGGGTTGTGAATGCTGCAGCAAGGAGGAGGCTGGAGGCAGTGGAGATGTTGCATCTAAGGGCAATGTGTGGTGTAAATATTACGCAGAAAATTCGTAGTGTGGAAATTAGGAGGAGGTGTGACGTTACTAAAAGTATTATTCGGAGGGCTGAGGAGGGGTTGTTGAGGTGATTTGGTCATTTAGAGAGGATGGAGCAAATTAGGATGAATTGGAGGGTATATAAATCTGTAGTAGAGGGGAGAAGGGTAGGGGTCATCCTAGGAAAAGATGGAGAGAGGAGGGTAAAAGAGGTTTTGTGTGCAAGGAGCTTGGACATACAGCAGGCATGTATGAGCATGTTAGATAGAAGTGATTGGAAGTGAATGGTTTTTGGACTTGACAAGCTGTTGGAATGTGAACTGGGTAATATTTTGTGAAGGGATTCAAGGAAACTTCTTAGCTGGACTTGAGTCCTGGAGGTGGAAAGTACAATGCCTGAACTTTTAAGGAGAGGTTTGGGATATTAGCTGTTTGGAGTGACATCTAAACTGTCGTATCTGCACACCTTTGCAAAGACAGTGATTATGTGTGAATGACGGTGAAAGTGTTTCTTTTTGGGTCACCCTGCCTTGGTGGGAAATGGCTGATAAAAAAATATATTTTTTGCTTAAATTGATTGACATGACTGTCTCAAATTTTTTACTTTAACATTGTCTTTCCTGCCAGTGATGATGGCCACTTAATGTTAATGACTCATATAAAATATTTTAAGTCAGACATTCTTTGTTTGTGTGTTTAACTAATTTCTTGTCAGTAAATATACATTCTTTCTTTCAGTGTTTAGAAATTTTTGGTAAAGTATTTGGAACCACTGAAAATTCCAAAGGCTACAAACTTCTACCCCCGTATGTGAGAGTGATTCAAGGTGATGGTATATCATACAAGACTTTAGGTTGGTAATTACTTGTTTTTATGTATAATTGCTGTATAGTATCTGACCTTAACCAGCATAGAGATTAATTATTAAATATATTAAAGTCCTTTAACCCCTTATCTGTCCAAACCTCAGTCGACATTTTCACTGCTAGTGCTCCAAACGTAGGTTAGCATTTTATTTTTCCTGCCTCCAAATTTGGCACAATAGGCCTGATAGGCCCAGGCAGTATAGAATATGTCTTAACACTCAGTGTGTGCAGTATTAAAAATATCTGGGAGCACCAGTTCAATTGAATGCCAGCTAGAGTAAACAGTGTGGCAACTCCCAGGGATTTACTAATGCCATGTCATATTAACATTCCCCTTTTAAGAGGAGAGTGATGTTGACCCCAAGTTTAGTGGCTGTGAGATGGATGTTACCACAAGTGGTCGAGGAAATATCAAAAACCTAGATAATAACCCATGTGCGATATTTGTGCAACATTCTCTGTTTTGATACCACTGGTAGTCTCATCCTTTCGGAATGTCCTATAACCTATGCCCTAATTAAAAGAGAAATGATTCTGTAACGTGTAGTATGTGTTCAGCAAGCCAGCTGGCTGGTTTGGTGGCTGGCTGACTGACTGGCTAGCTCTCTCTTAGCCCCAGTCTGTCTCAATCTTTCTCTCCACCTGTCTTTGTCCCTGAGCCGCTCATAAACCAGAATCAGAGACTAAGTAAGTTTACAGTGGTCCCTCAATTATTGTCGTTAATCCGTTCCTGGAAGTGCGACGATTATCGAAATAGACGATTTTCGAATCAATTTTCCCCATAAGAAATAATGTAAATACAATTAATCCGTTCCTGACACCCAGAAGTATTAAAACAAAACAATTTTTTACATGAAATATAGATCTAGTACATAAACAATACAATGGGACATGATGAATGAAACATTAACAGCATAACACTTACCTTTATTGGCGATTCTCGATTCTTCTTAGTGTATGGAAGACTGGAGGAGGAGAGACATTAAATTACTGTTTGGAAGGGGAATCCCCTTCCATCAACACCTCAGGTACCAAGTCCTTGTCTGGGGTTACATACTTCTCTTCTCTGTTTCTTAATGCCACTAAGACCAGCTTGAGAGTCACTAAATCTGTGGACTAAAATCCAAGGGTATTAAAAGAGGATAACATCAAAGCTGCTTTCATAGAAAACCTGGAAGCTTTCTACAACAGATGGGAACATAAAAAGTCTGGGCTGAATGGTACTGCCCTTGATACTGGCCATGTAGTCAGAAACTGTAAGGCTGGAGGTGATGCCCTGGTAGTCAGTAAATGTGGGGCAGATAGTGCTGTCCTGGGAGACAGTAATGGTAAAGCTGGAGGTGCTGTCCTGGGAGACAGTAATGGTGAAGTTGGAGGTGCTGTCCTGGGAGACAGTAATGGTGAAGCTGGAGGTGCTGTCCTGGGAGACAGTAATGGTGAAGCTGGAGGTGTTGTCCTGGGAGACGGTAATGGTGAAGCTGGAGGTGCTGTCCTGGGAGACAGTAATGGTGAAGCTGGAGGTGCTGTCCTGGGAGACAGTAATGGTGAAGCTGGAGGTGTTGTCCTGGGAGACTAATGGTGAAGCTGGAGATTTTGTCCAGGTAGTCGGGAATTATACGCAGGAAGGAATACATATAAATGACCTCATAGGAGACAGGAGCCGTAGTGGGGAAACAAGTGTAGTCAAAGATAAGATAAAACCAATATTGCAAACTAGAAATACCACAGGAAATAGCAAACAAGAGGACTCCACTAGCAATAGTGAGGATATATTACCAAAAACAACTGGTGGGAGCTCCATTGTTGGTGCTAGGGAGGATAGGAATAAGACAGGTAAACATGCACCAACAGGGAATACAGTCACAGAAACCCAAGGCAAACGGAAACCAAGCCTGTGCACATACTATGCACTTGGTATCTGCAGACATGGGAAATCTGGAAAAACAGACTGGACGTGCAACTATGACCACCCTAGAAAATGCCGTGCCCATATGACAACAGGAAAATGCAAACTCCCTTCCTGTAAGCTTTTTCACCCTGAAATGTGTACCTCTTCAGTACAGGAAAGACTGTGCTATAACTTAAATTGCCAGGCACACCATCTAAAGGGGACAAAAAGATACAAAACATCCAGGCCATGGGAAAACCTGGGTAGCCACAGCCACTCAAGAGGGAGAGGTTTTATAGTGCCAGGAAGGAAAAAAAACTGGCAGGAAATGGCAGAAATCGTACACCAAATCCAGTCATTCCTGGAGTGGAACCACAGTCGATGGCCTCCACTTCAAACCAACAGATACAGATACTAATGCCGGAGAAAAAAAAAACAGTACCAACAATACCACCAGTCCGATGACATTCTTTGCAAATATACAGGGTCTAAAGCCAGCAACAAACAACAAAATACCTTTCATCTGTGGACTGCTTGCAGAGGCAAAGGCAATGTTCGCGGCTTTCACCGAGACCCACATAAAGGATCACTTGGACAACGAAATATGGATTCCAGGTTACAGCCTATACAGATGTGACAGAGTGAACAGACAAAAGGGGGGGGTGGTTGGCCTGTACATTGCAGAGTCACTTGTTTGCACAGAACTGCTTAATGCCTCAAATGATGTAGTGGAAGTTTTAGCAGTAAAGGTCGAGAACCAAAACCTAGTCATTGTGGTAGTCTACAAGCCTCCGGATGCAACATCCCAGCAATTCCAGGAACAGCTGTTAAAAATTGACCCCTGTCTGGAAAATCTTCCAGCTCCTGCACCCAACATCTTGCTCCTGGGGGATTTCAACTTAAGGCACCTAAAATGGAGGAATATAGCAAATAATATTGTTGCAGTAATAACACCAGGAGGCAGCTCTGATGAAAACTCACACTCACACAAGCTTTTAAATCTCTGCACAAAATTCAATTTAAACCAGCAAATAATAGAGCCTACTAGACTGGAGAATACACTAGACCTCATCTTCACTAACAATGATGATCTGATAAGAAATGACACCATATCAAAAACAATATACTCAGATCACAACATAATTGAGGTTCAGACATGTATGCGCGGAGCCCCAGACCGACATAATGAGACTAGTCATGAGGGAGCATTCACCAAATTCAACTTCAATAACAAAAACATAAAGTGGGACCAAGTAAACCAAGTCCTAACCGATATAAGCTGGGAAGATATACTAAGCAACACAGACCCCAACTTATGCCTAGAACAGATTAACTTGGTGGCACTCGATGTATGCACAAGGCTTATTCCTCTAAGAAAAAGGAGTAGTAGATGCAAAATAGAAAGAGACAGGTGCTCCCTTTACAGGCGACGGAAAGGAATAACAGAGCGGCTAAAAGAGGTCAATATATCTGAAATGCGTAGGGAGACACTGGTCAGAGAAATAGCAAGCATCGAACCTAAGCTAAAGGAATCTTAAAGGAGTCAGGAATCGCGGGAAGAACTAAAAGCCATAAATGAAATCGAAAGAAACCCAAAGTATTTCTTCTCCTGTGCCAAATCAAAGTCGAGAACAACGTCCAGTATTGGGTCCCTACTTAAACAAGATGGGTCCTACACAGATGACAGCAAGGAAATGAGTGAGCTACTTAAGTCCCAGTATGACTCAGTTTTTAGCAAGCCGCTAACCAGACTGAGAGTCAAAGATCAAAATTAATTTTTTATGAGAGAGCCACAGAATTTGGTTAACACAAGCCTATCCGATGTTATCCTGACGCCAAATGACGTCGAATAGGCGATAAATGACATGCCCATGCACTCTGCCCCAGGGCCAGACTCATGGAACTCCGTGTTCATCAAGAACTGCAAGAAGCCCCTATCACGAGCCTTTACCATCCTATGGAGAGGGAGCATGGACACTGGGGTCGTCCCACAGTTACTAAAAACAACAGACATAGCCCCACTCCACAAAGGGGGCAGTAAAGCAACAGCAAAGAACTACAGTGGACCCCCGCATAACGATGGCATCACATAGCGATTTTTCCGCATAACGATTACTTTTATCGCAAAATTTTTGCCGCGCATACCGATTAAAAACCCGCTTACCGATTTTCGTCCGAGACGCGTCCAATGTGCCCTCAGCCAGCCTCACATGTGCCGCCCCGTCCCATTGTTTACCAGCCAGCCTCCGCGGTAACATCCAAGCATACACTCGGAATATTTCGTATTATTACAGTATTTTCGGTGCGTTTCTGGAAAAAAAATGACCAGGGGCCCCCAAAAAAAGCTTCTAGTCCCAAAACCCTACACCTCAAAGGGTAAAAATTTTCATAGAGAGAAGAAAGAGAAAATTTGATAAGTATGAAGTGGAGTGCTTACCCGACCTGTCAAGCTGTACAAAAACCCCCCAATCAACCATCGCTACTATTGTGGGCCCAGAAAGACAATAAGGGGAAGCTGTTTTTGCCAAAAGGGTTTTCAACTGTGTTTTCGAAACAAAGATCGAATGATGGAAGATGTTGAGAAAATCTTTTGGGTGGGAAAAAATAAAAAAACGTAGCAGGAGATAGCTCTCTAAACGATAATGTGAAAAGGCGGGAAGTTGCATGGGTTTTAAATTTAAAAAAAAATGCCTGCAACTGTGATGATGTGAGTAAATTTAAGGCCAAAAAAGGTTTGGGTTTGGAGATTTAAGAAGTTTTAGGGCATCAAGTGTGTAAGGCATGGTGAGGCTCCCAGTTGGACAAAAAGGGGTTGAAAAATATTGCAGGAATTCAAGGAACTAGAAACGAAGGACTGAAACCTGAAAAGTGTTTAATTGTGATGAAACGGGGCCTGTTCGGGAAAAGAAAATGCCAACAGGACCTACATTACTCAGGAGGAAAAGGACCCCAGACTAAGCCTATGAAAGACAGGCTTATTTTGTTGATGGTCCCAAGCTACGGTGATTGCCAAAGTGAACCCTTTTATTGTGTATCACTCTGAAACCCCCGGGGGTTCAGGCAAAAAAATGTCCTCAAGGAAAATTTGTGTTTTGCTGT